AAATGACCTTACGGGACTATGTAGATTTTATGAATAAAAATTAAAATTTCTAGCCATCTAATAATCCAATTCAATTAATTTTTTTTTATATTATAGAACCAACTAAGCTCTATAAAATAAAAAAAGTTTATTTTGAATTGGATTACTGGATAGCTAGAAATTTTGATTTTTATTCATAAAATCTACATAGTCCCGTAAGGTCATTTTCAAGGCAAAGACCCCATATATTAAAGAGTTTGCAAAAACCGATCTAACTAGTTATGAAAATCAGAAAATTAAAATTTGTATTGCTTTACTATAAGAAATTTTGAATTACAGACTTCAACTTGACAAATGAAGTATATATGTATTCTGATAAAGCTATTGCGAAATTTTTTTAACCTAATAGTTTCACTATAATGATAGTAAATATACAGTATAAGGCACAAATTGTTTTAATAAGAAATATTTTGAAGTCAAAGAGATTTTTAAAATTAGATAATATTGTGTTCTAAAGATCTTAGTATAAAAATCAACTAGAAAATTAGCTTTAAAAGATTAGTATGGAAATTACAAAGAAACAGAAAATTAAAGTTTAAATAGAAAACTTCTAAACAAACTTGCTTTTAGATGATATAAATTTAGATAAAAAAAAGCCTACTTTTAAAGAAAGCATTCTGGAACTATGATTAAACTATTCTTAGCGTTTAAAGAAAATATAGAATTCGTATTAGAAAGTATATAGTTGGCTAAATTTTTATATATGATTCCATCACATTGCATTTAGAGAGATTTGATTGTATTTTTTTTTTCTTTTTTTCTTATAGAGGTTAAATAATGTCTACCTCTTTTTTATACCAAGTATAGATGAAAAATAAAACTTAATTCGATTGCCCTAAGATCATGTAGCTGTATTTTTATTAAGCATATTATGTATTGAATATACAGTACAAAAATTCTAAGAACTTGATTTTTGATCTTCTTTTCTCATCATTTCAATTTTCATATTTAATCTTTGTGGTCTACTCTTCCATCCTGCCAATCTCCTGAACCGTAACCTATCGATTTCTGCTCTATTACTATAGTGCTCTAACTCAGATTTATCAGGCGGCGGGGGATATGCGAAATCTTCTGCTAGTGTAACGATGGCTTTTTTATATTTCGAAGTAAATTTACCTCTCAAAATGCCATCGGATTTCTTAACTGGACGTTTTGCGCCATAATTCATCGTACGTACATCAACAACTTTAAGTTTATATACGTGAAATAAATAATCACGAATATCAAGTTTGTTAATATTAGGTGGGACACGAAATGCTACTTGATTTGGTGGAAGAGTTGGAGTGCGTACGAGACTAAAAATTATATTTGGAAAGTAAATTTTTTTAAACCCAATTCTAAAAGAAGACATTTTCACTTATAAAAAAAGCTGTAGAGAGGAATGAATAATAATTTGCTCAAAGGATCGATCAGGATTTAAAATTTAACGATTATCGGTCCAATCAATTTACTTAAGATTATCTAAATTTATCCAAATCATAAATCCAAATTTTATTAATGTCGTCGCCGTATAAGAAGTTATCAATAAAGAGGTTACCTGCACCCACTGAGAAAGGCACAGAAGAGTCAAGATTTTGGAAAAGATTCAAGGTGACTTTTTTCCTTCAAAAATTCGAATTAGCTTTGAATGGTGTCTTGCAATGACTATTGAGTTGTTACTAGTGTGAAATTTTGAATTCGAATTTGTCCAAGTTTTACTAATGAGTGACAATTTTCACTGAAAAAATTAAAATAATTAAAATAATTATTATAATGTTGCGAGGTCTTACATTATTCCTATTTTTCTACTTTATTTCTCTAAGCTACGTTGTTCGCTTTCCGAGATTGCATCGGTAACTTCCATCAAGTTTAGTCCTATACAACCATTTGATTTCGCTGTAACATCATCTACCCGTGTTCAAATCTACTCAACACAAACCTACAAAGTAAAAAAAACCGTATCAAGGTTCAATGATATCGCTTACTGTGGGACCATTCGAAACGATGGCAAACTTCTTGTGGCCGGTGATGCTACGGGATTAATTCAAGTATATTATCAAACATTATATGTAATATAAAATGGATAAAAAATTTTAAATTGTTATTTATCTTAGGTTTTTGATATAAATAGCAGAGCAATATTAAGAACGATGCAAGGTCATAATCAGTTAGTATTTGATTTACAAGAATCATTTCTTTATCTATTTAATTATTAAAAAGCTGTATTAATAATAATTTATAAAAAATTTTCGTTTTTTAGTCCTGTGCATATTACCAGATTTGCACCCGGAAATACTCAAATTCTTTCTTGTTCCGATGATAAAACTGCCCGTATTTGGGATATTCCCGGACAAGAAGCAACATCAATTTTCAAAGAACATCAGGTTTGTTATAATCTTTTTGCAATTGTTGCTTCATTTAATTATCATATAACATTCATTCCTTTGTCCAAAATATAGGATTATGTGCGTGCTGGATTAATAAGTAACGATAACCCTCATTTGGTTTTGACAGGATCATATGATCAGTCAATCAAGCTCTGGGATTTACGTACAAATTCTTGTACTATGACAATGTCACATGGAGCTCCCGTCGAAGACGTTTTGATGTTTCCTGGTGGAGGAATGATAATTTCAGCTGGTATATATGACATCAGATTAAATAACTTTTTATGATTATTTATGATTATTTATGAAACTTACATCTTTCTTCACAGGAGGACCAACCATAACCGTATGGGATCTTGTTTCTGGTGGTCGTGTTGTACGATCTGTATCAAACCACCAGAAAACAATCACATCAATGTGCTTTGACGGATCTTCATCGCGCCTTCTTACTGGATCTTTAGATCATCATGTTAAAATCTATGATGTTCAGAATTATGATGTGGTCCACAGTATTGAATACAGTTCTCCGATATTGTGTATTGCTCTGTCTGTAAGTATCTTTTTTTTCTTTTCTCTACAGGACCTTATTTAATTGTTTCCAAAATCACGTACAGCCAGACGATACCCACATCGTTGCCGGAATGACATGTGGTACTTTATCTATTCGTCGTCGAAAATTGGTGCAAAAAGAACTCAGTATGTCCCACCAAAATGAGCAGCCAAGAGTTGGTTCCTATAAATACTTTACACGTGGCCAAACATATAGCGGTAGTCAGGTTAGGAAAAATATATAGAAATAAATTCCGATATATATTCGTGGTGATCTATTTTAATATATTATTTAAATTTTAGGGTGATTTTATAGTAGAATCTAAACCAAGAGAACGTCTTGCATTATATGATCGTTACTTGAAAAAGTTTCAATACTCGAATGCACTTGATGCTGCATTAAGAAACGTAAATAACTACTATCATTATCATTGATATGTTTTAAAATAATGAAACTAACATTAAGTTTTATATAACTCAGGGAACTCAAGCTATTTTAACTATTTCATTGTTGCAAGAACTTATCCGTCGAGATGCTCTACGACAGGCAATTGTCGGACGTGATGATCTCTCATTAGAACCTTTGGTCAAGTTTCTGATAAGATGGATAAATGATCCAAGATATACTAGCATATTAGTTGATGTAGGAAATGTTATAATCGGTAAAGATGGTTTCCGTAATTGTTATTTAGTTATAAATACGTAGCTAATATTTTTTATTTTATTTTTTTTGTAGATGTGTATTCTTCAGTGATTTATAAATCTCCGTTAATCGAAAAATTGATGACCACTTTGCATGCTAAAGTAAAAACGGAGATGAATTTACAGAAAGAGATTGCAAAAATTATTGGTTCTTTAGAAATGGTTGCCAAGGGGTCTTTGTAGTGGTTGGACCCGTCTGAAAAATCATGACCCGGGTAACCCGGCGGGTAAACCCACGGGTCACCCGGGTGGATAAATGATAAAATTCTATCTTTCTTCTATAATTATAATATGAAATTAATAAAATATTTGATTAGAACTGATTCATAACATGCCAGTATAATATAATACATTTCTAACTCTTTTTAAACAACTCAAGCACCTAGTTACATTACCTAATTTTTCATACCAGATATTTTTCTCTTTCTGCATATACTGTAACAAAATTATCATCTCATGAATATCATTATATGAAAGAATTTTAAT